TATTATTATTATCAAATTGTCCTGATTTTTTGCTTTGAAATGTTGTTCCGGCTTGATAATTTAATTTTAAAATTAAAGATTTTCATTCAGAGTACACTGAATTGAATAAATAAACACATGTGCAATTATTAATTTAAAATCTTTTCAATAACAAACTAATATTATTTTGAATAAATTTTTTTTACATTTGAAAGTAAAAAAACACGATAATTTAATTTGTGAACGACTATGTTTAAAATCAATTCAAAAAGTACGTTAAAAGCATGACTATGTGAACGTAGTATTTGATTTCAAATTTAGAAAAATAAACGCTAAATAACATTCATTTTTCCAATTGGCTCCACTGTGTGAATATGTTACAAAAAATCCGGCAACTCATCGTCCGCAAGCAACAGTTGAACAGCTGATAACTGTCAGTTTTTAGTACTTGACGAATTGTCAGAAATGAAAAATTGCATGTCGATTGCAAAGTGCTTTTTCAGTTTATTTTTCGTTTATATATTCGTTTTATATATTGAAGTGAATTGAACATTAATTTCTGTGTAAAGAAAATATTAAAAAATATATTTAAAATCGTATATTTTTGTGTGAATGGTGAACATTTTTAAAATTAAACAATGAATAGGCAGCCATTACAATCCTTTGGTAACTGGCAACTTGTTAAGACCTTAGGAGAGGGAGCTTTCGGCGAAGTCCACTTATGGAAGCACAATCAAACTGGGAAAGAATTCGGTAAGTTATATTATTTTCTTGTATAAGAAACAGTGAGGGGTGATTCATAATCAATTCTAAGAATTCATTTATTGTTTTATTAACTGGCGTTGTATTGTATAATTTTTTGTGTTCGTTTCCATTTTTATTGTATTTTTTTTTTTTGCAAATATTAGTGAATATTTATATTTAATATCACAAACATATAAATTATTATTATAGTTCGTAAGCGACACTAGCATCAGTATCGGAAAAAGCATATTCCAAAATTGTTTGTAAATGGAGGAATGTATTGCAATTCAAAGAGGATTTAGTTAGATAAATGATAATAATAGGTTACACCAGCTGGACCAATACCAATACCGGATGTTGTTTTCTTCTTTTTGTAAAATTTGGCAAAAAAAAAATCAAATTGGTTTTACGAAAACAAAACAAAATGTTAATTACCAACAAAAAAAAAAAATAAATAAACAATTTTTGCCAAAAAGAAAGATATGATAAAGAATGAAATGTAAACAAAAAGTTAACAAAACAAAAAAGCCCTTGAGATTGTTAAAAAAACACTAAATGTATAGTATTGTGTTGTTAGGAAATAGTGGATTAATATTTTTGTTCCTTTACTCGTAAGGTTTGCAGGTTTTTACATTAAAGTCGTTCCCGTTGTCAGAAATTAATTGTTTTTATAATAAACACTACTATAGTGACTGCATTTGTGCTGATGTTTGTAACACCCAAAATATTGGTCCTTCAGGTACCTTAAAGTATACCAATCGGTCCATAAACCAATTCTAATTTGATTAAGCTCCCATACTAAGTCGCCTTGTCTAGACCGACTAATTCATATAAAAGCAGCAGTATAAGGATGACAACTTTTCTATAGGTATTTAGTATATGGGCATTTCTACCGAAAAGTATATTTTTTGTCACATCACGTCACGCACATTGACATTGACAATATCTTAGGACCAATCTTTTTTATTGGTCGCACCTTTATCCTATGTATAGAGTTATTAGAGCTCTACATAAAAATATAAACAAATTAAAAATATGTATATTGTTTCCCTAGATATAAGCAGTTAATTGTGCGTGACGTGATGTGACAAAAGTTGTCTTTTCGGTGGAAATGCCCATATGTATATACTAAATACTAAATTTTTCGAATATGTATATGTTCGAATTATTTAATAATTTTAAATCCCTATGATTCGCATAAAAATAATTTACACCTTTACTTGAAAAGTTTGCCTCCGGTAGGTTAGTTGGTAGTGGCATCACAAACTCTGACCCCGATTGTTATATTTTTAAAATTTTAGGTAGAATTATACATACAGTCATGATAAAATTATGATATTTCCTTTATGATCGATTAGTATTTTGAGTGGAAAAAATAAAATTGTTTGTAATAAAAACTATGCATTTGGTAGAAATATTTGAGACTGACAACACTATGCGACAAAAATAAATATGTATGTGATACTATTTTCTGAAAGGTGGATCCGAGTAGAACAAGAATCTGTTTTTGGAATTTGCCTAAAACCTACAAAATCTTGAGATACGGGTAAAAAACTGGCTTTTCGTACATTTAAGCTCTTAGAAGTCTTTTTATTGACATAATACGTTGTTTAAATAACCTGGAGAAATAAATGAGCATTTCATTATCACAAACATATTTTCGGTTTTAGTTTTGCACTGTTTTTCAAGTTTGAAGATATTTTTATAAAGTATTTTATATAGGAACCATACAATTTATCAATGTATTAGAAAACTATGTCCGTTCATGAGTAAAACATAATCTTATTTGGCAAATTTCAAAAACAGATTCTTGTTCTACTCGGATCCACCTTACAGTAAAATAGTATCACTTCTTAGGTACATACATATTTCCATTTTCGTTTCTTTTGTCTCACCGTGTAAACTTTTGTTATTTTATATGAATACCAAGAACTTCAAATTATACAATTTTACAATTTCCTTTCGCAAATTATTTTAAAATTTCATTCATAAAATTTTAAATTTATGAAATTTTCCATTTTTTCTATCAATTTTATTTTTAAACACATTTCATTGGTGTACTAGAAACAATGTTTCATACAATATTCCTATAAGGTATCATGATAAGCTGTGTTATCAGTTTTGAGGTTTGCATTAAATAAATTAAACAAATCATTATAATTTTTTTTTATTTTTTACTTCACAAAGTGTTTGTTGTGATTGCAAAAATCTAAAGAAAACATTAATAATAAATATATAATTTAGTTACTTACTTCCATTATTGTTTATAAATACATATGTTTTTTACGCTCAAGCTTTAATATTCATTATACAAACGCGCGTTATATTTATATTATCAAGCCTTTATTATTAGTAATAAAATTTGGTAAAAAATATACATATAAATATGGGAACTAGGTGAAATATATATAAATATGGGAACTAGGTGAAATTATGGATCGATGTCAACTATTTTCAATAGGCTTAGTTGTTGCTACTTCAACTGGATGCGTCCATAAATCCATTGGACAGAGTGAAGTAGAGTTGGCTGAGCAGTTTGAATATGTGGTGGGTGTCATGAGGACCCTGACCACATGCAGGACATTCGTTGGGGACGGCACGGTCTATACGTGACCAGTAGGCATTGAGCTTGTTGCTCCATCCCGATCTTAGTTGTGCCAGAACTCTTGTTTTCCGCGGCAGGTTTTCTTCCGTGTCTGCTATGGGCGGTGGGCGACCTCCAAGTACGACCTTCATGCGGTATCCTGCGACCGCGTCTCTATGAATGTCGTTCAAAGCTGCCGAATACGAGGACTGATCCAGTGGATCCCGCACATATCTGCATATGTTTTCCTCGTATATACGAAGATCCTTCCTAACATGCCTCGGGGGAGATATCCAATTGTATGATGTTAAATTGGGATGACTTCTCCGATGACATCCCAGGAGGAACTGTTTAGTCAACATGACATTGTGTTCCTTGACTGGAAGGACCTTCGTTTCCTCGTGCAGGTAATGTTCCGAGGTAATTTGTAGGCAGCCCCTTACAGTCGTTAGGGCGGCATTTTGGCAGCTTTGAGTGTTTCTCCACTGTGTATCACTTAGCGAAGGTGACCACACTGTAGCAGCATAGTTAACACTGACCGACCAATCTTTTTATATGTAGCCAACAAGGTTTCTTTATCCATACCCCGAGTGCTGCCTGCTAGCGCTTTGAGGACCTTGTTTCTACTTCGCAATTTGTGCGTGATTGCAGTGGCGTGAGCTGAGGAAGTAAAGAGGCTATCAAATGTGACCTCCAATATTTTTGGGTGGTGCACGGTCGGAATTTGGACTCCATCGACCACGATGTCAAGGTTTACTTCCTTCGTCCAGGTGGTAAAAAGTGTTGTTGACGACTTCGCTGGTGATAATTGCAGGTTACGCGCAGTGAAGAACTGATGTATTTCGTGGAGATAACCATTCGCCAGAACGCATATTTCATCAATGTTGTTGCCCGTCGCCATGATTGTACAGTCGTCCGCATATGAAATCACTTCCACGCCTTGTGGAGGTGCGGGGAGCTTAGAGAGGTAGAAGTTAAACAAAAGTGGCGATAGTACTCCACCTTGAGGTACGCCTTTTTTAACTCTACGGGGTTTGGAGCGTCTGTCTCTAAACTCCACGAACGACTGACGGCCACTCAGATAATTTAAGATCCATCTCTTCGTGTTGTTGGGCATTGTGGATTGCAGGATATCCTCGAAGAGTGTGGCGTGACTGACGGTGCCGAAGGCCTTCGACAGGTCAAGAGCTACTAGTAAAGTCCTTTCACAGGGCCTCTGCTGATTTAAGCCTTGTGAGATCTGAGTGGCAATGGCGGTTAATGCTGTAGTGGTGCTGTGCATTTTGCGGAAGCCATGCTGGTGACGAGCTGCTGTTAGGTGGCTGGACAGCTGGGGGAGGAGAAGCGCCTCAAGAGTCTTCGCGACTGGTGATAAGAGGGAAATCGGCCTGTATGATTGTCCCTCTGTCGCGTCTTTCCCAGGTTTTAAAATGGGAATGACTCTACCCTTTTCCTAGGCTTCGGGTATTACGAGGCTGCTCACTGACTTGTTGAAGACCATAGTCAGGGTTGTGGTATGTCCGTGACTGGAAAGTTGTGAAGTTTGCGAACAACACTTCGTTTCGCCTTGTCTCTCTCAGGGTGCTCAATGAATTGCCGGCAAAATGCGCGCGAGCACCCTTCAGAGCCGGAAATGGGGATATCTGCAAACTTAATCCTCCATCCTTCTTCGTCGGGTTAGAGAGAGATCGAACTGTAGACCACAACTTACTAACACCCGAACTCAGGTTGCTGTTCTTCATGTGATCTAGCCATCTTTTCCGCTTGTCCTCATTTACCAACCTGCTGATTTCAATATTCAGCTGGGTGAGTCTTGGATCACCTGGGTTGGTATTTCGGATGTCATCTCTTTCATCTGCAAGCCTGGCTGCTTCTGCTGGGAAGTGCGGCCGCACTACGGATATACGAGCAGCAGGTATAAAGCGAGCAGCTGCTGAGATGACAGTTTCACGTTGCTGTTCCGCCAGCAACGCACCTCTCTGGTCTTCCCCTAAAGAAGAGTGCCAGAGCTGATGGTGGGTGTTGAAGTCCCCTAGGACAAGACGCATATCGCCGTCTAACAATGTCCTGATGTCGGGAAGGTAGCCTGCTGGACAGCTGGCTACTGGCGGAATATAGACATTATAGAGCTCTAAGTCAGTTTCTCCCGATCTAACTGCAATACCTTGAACTTAGGCTTAGTCCTATTTTCTGCTAAATTTCATCACATTCTGTTAAAAATCGAGATTTGTACGTTTTGTGTAATGAAACTGTCTGATAAGTAATTCCCCCTCATATTCTTTTAGAATATAAGATCTTGATTTTTTTTTTTATTATTCTTCGTAAGAGAGCTTTTATATTTTTATCATGTTTTACTTTTAAATGTAACAATTAACACCAAATTACTTTATGAGTCGATTTAGCGATGTTCGTCGGTCCATATAAA